TAATTTCAATGATCATGACCATCGAATAAACGTCTATTTTACCAGTAATTACGAAATTAATCTAAACAATATAGAAGTAAAAATTAAAAATAAAAGAAGAAGAAGAAATGTAAAAATTCTCTCAGAAAAAGAAAGAAGAAAAAGAAGAAGAAGAAAAGGAGGATGGTAATTTCAATGATCATGACTACAGAATGAACGTCTATTCCATCGGTACCTATGAAATTAATCTAAATGACACAGACGTAAAAATTAAAAACTAAAAATAAAATAAGAAAAAGAAATGGTAAAATTCTCTCTCTCAAAAAGAAGAAGAAGAAAAGGAGGATGATAATTTCAATGATCATGACCATCGAATAAACGTCTATTTTACCAGTAATTACGAAATTAATCTAAACAATATAGAAGTAAAAATTAAAAATAAAAGAAGAAGAAGAAATGTAAAAATTCTCTCAGAAAAAGAAAGAAGAAAAAGAAGAAGAAGAAAAGGAGGATGGTAATTTCAATGATCATGACTACAGAATGAACGTCTATTCCATCGGTACCTATGAAATTAATCTAAATGACACAGACGTAAAAATTAAAAACTAAAAATAAAATAAGAAAAAGAAATGGTAAAATTCTCTCTCTCAAAAAAAAGAAGAAGAAAAGGAGGATGATAATTTCAATGATCATGACCATCGAATAAACGTCTATTTTACCAGTAATTACGAAATTAATCTAAACAATATAGAAGTAAAAATTAAAAATAAAAGAAGAAGAAGAAATGTAAAAATTCTCTCAGAAAAAGAAAGAAGAAAAAGAAGAAGAAGAAAAGGAGGATAGTAATTTCAACGATCATGACCACTGCAGAAGATTAGCATGGCAGTTTGGCAGCTATGCTTTATAGCTCCTAAAAGCTCGGTTCCCCGACATGGCGGGCTCGCAATAAAATACTCACGTTTTCGTGTTTGAAGAAGCAGAGCATCTTCAGCTCCCTGAAGACCCGTTTGCTGCTCACGAGGCTCTGAAAGACGTTCGGCAGTTTCTTCAAGGCCACTCTCCTACCGTCCCTCGGATCCGTCACCGCCCTGCAAAGAAGAAGATCGTTATCGATCTATGCTAGTCTCTCTCGAATCGGATTAAAACCCAAGCAATGGAACTCGGATCCCGTGAAATCGTATTCTCGCAGAAATTACGTTCCAGGCGCGCTCCATAAACCGCAGTTCGAAATGAAAACGGCCAATCGCGAGATAAGGATCTACCCAAGATGCTCCTTTTTCGTGGAAAGTGTGCCGAAAGAAATACCAGCGAAAGGAGCAACACACTTTTCCCCGTGTTTGAAAGCGTTCAACGTCGGAGAACGTGTTTTTCAGCGCCGTTCAGTTACACTTTCGGTTTTGATAGGTTAAAGGTGAAAGAAGAATGGAAGAAGATGGCCGCAGCCAGTCAATTTGACTCATTTACGATTTTATTGCTACATACGAGCCGTTCACCGAGAGCAAAAATGTACCCTTAACGCGTCGATCTTGAAATGACCGAATTAAAAATTCCTACTGGGACATCAGATCACGTCGTTCACCGATCTTCTTCTGTTAGAAAAATTCAACAGACACGAAAGAAATCTCTATGATTCATCGAAATCTCCAAAATTGGAACCGTCATCGACTTCTCCACGGATTTTTCCTTCCCTTGCCAAAATCCAAATGAAGAATCTCACCAACTTTCCCAATACACTGACCACTCTCCTAGACCCTATATCAGAGCAAGTAGAAAATGAGTCGTTCACTGACAAATCGATTAACTGCACTTTTTGAGAAATCTTAAATTTAAGCATCAAAACACTTGGTATAATCGTAACTTTTTATATTTATAATAACTTTCTCCGATAATTAAGATTACCACCGTTAAACGACCAAAATTTTTTGGCCCCTGAATAATAAATAATTTATTTCAGAGGTCACTTCGATTAACTCCGTACTCTAATGTAAATCGTTGCAATAATGCAATTCAAATGCACTAGCGAGCCATGAATGATAACGGTGAACTTTTTAGTGCCGTCTTATCAGAATTGAAGTAAAATTTAGTAAAATTTAAATTTATTACCTTTTTCACTTGCCAAATCGATTAACTATTTCGGTAACATAAAAATGGTAACATTACTAACGATTACCTTTTGGCTATTTTTTCTTATAAATTTTATACACCGTTAGACGAAAGTAACATTTGTATTTACGCATTCTACGATATTTACTTCGATTTAAATTGTAAAGGGAATTTTAAAAAACAATGTACATTATTTAATTGTATTTCTCCACTTTTTGTTTTATGGAGTTAATCAATTTGTGCAGTGAACGGCTCATATGTAGAGAAATTTAAATAATTTTTAAAAAAGTATATATTGGTTTTTCGTAGAATTATAAAATGTATACAAATATTAATTCCTTCCCCTTCCCACTCCTTAGTTCCAAAAATCCATATGTGCTATACCTATTTTGACAGAAGCGAGTCAAATTGACTAATTAAATATTTTTAAAGTTGATTTTACACAGGTGTAACATATTTCTTGTGCATAAAAATTTTTTGTGAACAATCTGATGGTTGTCAATTACTAGTTCATGGCCCCTTAGCTGACCGAGGTCCAAGGGTACGACGCATAAGGACTTACGTTGGAACAGGCCCCCTGTTAGCCGAGTCCCAAGTACTGTCACTCAACCCTGACGAATGAGGGTCGTATTGCCTCGCAAAAATCTGTGGAATATAAATGTAAAAATTGTTTCGAATAAACTTTCTTTAAAATAAAATATTATTTTTTTAAAAAACTTCAATTTCGATGTTTGAGTCAGATTGACTCATTTCAGGCAAAATAGGTATATACCCAACCTCCTGTAATCTAGTGTTACCGACTCGCGAAGGCTCACAACTCGCGTTCTCGCGTCTCTGAAAATATTGACAACTCGTAGAGGCAAAAAGCCATAAACTTGCTCTTTTCACGGAGAAATCGAGAATATTCGACGCAATTTGCTCCATAAAAGATATACAACGGAAACAACGATAGGGGAAATAACAGGTGCTAATTAAATTTAATGTCACGATAAAAAAGTTTTATACGAAATAATAGGGGTTGTTTTCGTATCGTGAAATTGATATTTCCGATGGCAGTGATATTTCCGTGGAAAAATATTCCGTTATACACGTTTTTAACGCGAATAATATCCATTCGACATTATCGTATATCGAATTCGTAACGATGACAATATTTGACCTAACACGGTATCGAAATTTCCCATCTTCTGTCAAGGAAATTCGAATTTCGCGAGAGCTAAGGGAAAGAAAGCGAGGGTTGGTTTCACGTATGAGCGAGTAACAAGCGTAGATACAGCTTTGTACTTTCCCCTAGGCAAAGTGAAAAGAGACAGGCCATTGATCACGAGTCCGAAAACCTCGACCACCGATGAACCCAGAGGCGAACTTGGTCAAAGTGCCACGATGGCGTAGCTCGAAACGACCATCGATTCGACGCAATGCGCATATAAAATCGATTAATCACCGAAGATCATCTCGAACGAATTCTAATCCCTTTTCTCGGTATTCCATTCGATCTACACTTCGTTTATAAATCCCACGCAAATCTGTGGACTCACGCGTAGTCTAGCAGGTGTCAAGCCGCGTAAATGCATCGATCAAATGGCGTATCGAGACGAGAAAGAATCGCTGGTGACATTACTGACAGCCTTTCACCGAATCTCCACGCAAGTGTTCCATTTACCGGAACCAATCGTCGGGATATCGAAATTCCGAAATATTTCGCTTAACCGGATCGCGTTAGAGCAACGATGAAACAACCTCGCGGAAAATCGTCGGATTTCCGGCCCGTTAGGACGTCCGGGAACACCGGCGAGCTCATTAGCGAAGAATCTGGAAAAAGCGTACAACCACACCCCGAAAAATCCTGCGCGATCAAAGCTCGTCCATCCATCAGCGAACAATCGAAATCCCAGAAGAGTCAATATCCAGATAGAGAGCGGACGCGACGATAAATTCCGACGCTGACCGTCGATCCGCGAACACGAATACCGGGGATAGAAGGGCGCAGCGAGGGGTTGGAGGGTTAATAACAGCGGCCACGATCGATTCGTAATCCGCGAGCAGACGAGGAGAGGCCGCGCCGGGCCTGGTCCGTGGAATAATTATTGTGCCTGCAATTAGTTCGTTTACGGTGGCTCGATTTCATTGTCAGCCGGCCGGCACCGCAAACCGACGATTCCAATCCCTCGTTTTCATTCGACAGTCAATCTCGTCCCGCGGCCGCCGGCCATTCCCGACGACGGCGCCGCCTCTGCGTCTCCACCACGCCGCGACAAACCGATTTTTCCGCTTTCCACTCGCCATGAAAGAATCGCGAGTGACCGGTACGCATCGTCGTGCCTAACTTCTGACTCCCTAGATGAGGATGAGGGTTGGCGAGAAATAATTCTTCTTGTTCCTGCAGTATGAAAGGGGTGGTAGTAAAGGGTGCGAATTGTATCTTGACACCGTGATAACGATGATTGGCTTCTTGACTTTTCAGGAACGAGATTATAGCGACCATCATTCTCACCCTCGCCACTAGATGAATTTAGGAAAATCTCCAGTTTCTCTATAGATATAATTTCCCGACCTTTCAATAGTATCCCAGTGTCTAAGGCAGGGCCTGCTAGGGTACCCTTAACACGTTGACTGCCACGCGCATTTTACGTGGTTTGCCCATGGCGCCAACATGAATATTTTATTATGCGATGCATATTATGTTGAAATATTACTTACAACAGATAAGGTGAGTTGTATAATCGCGTTTAATGTATTTTTCGTGGCGGGGGTCACCGGTGACCCCCGCGACGCTGTAGACATTTTTGCCATTATCAATTGTTTAAAAAGCAACTCGAAAATATATTTCAATTCCCGATTTTAGGATGAAGTTAGCGATGTATTTAGCGAAATGTTCCGATCACGAAGACTGCATTTCATCGAGCAATTACGTACAGAAAGAACGTGATCACGAATTTAAAAAGAAACCTGGAAGTGTGCGAAATGTAAGGCGATTTTGGAAAGTGTGCTATGAAAATAATTCAAATCAGCTAGGAAGAATGAGAGCAAAGAATTGCACTAAAAGAGTGGGGACATATTCTGCCGACTGTTTTGGTTCACCTTTTATTTGTATAAATAAAATTATTTTTGCACGTTCTGTATGGCATTAATTTCTTCGAACCGTTATAGTAACAATGGTACTATTTAAAAATTTATCAGTAACGATATTTACTCTAATTATGTATTTTTACTAATGGTCGCGTCGCCGGTCACCGGTGGCCCCCGTGGC